AGAGACAAAGTTGTTGCCACGAGCTGGCATGTCTCTCTATCACGAAATCTTTTAATCAACCCTTTTTAAATGCCATGTTCTGCAGATCTCTGAACATTTGAGGACCGCCTATCTATTAGGTATATCTGAATAGACAAACTTTGTTTCTAGTTCCTTGTTTTAAGCTTAACTTTGAAAACATATACAGGGACTAAGTAAGGCTTATTCCTGTAATTAATTTATATTAATACTTAACATGACTACTAATAATTTATAAGATGACACTTAACTTGTGCTCCATAACAGTCTACAATATGTTAGCACTTTTTATAAGTCTAGGATTTTACATTACATTCCTGTCAGGTTTAACCTTAAAAATAAGGATTTTGAATTAAAGCTCTTCTAGTATCAAAATAAAACTTTTAACCATAGATAATGGGCTGAGTGAAGAAACCAAAATAGCCATTCTGTGGGTAAAAACAGAACAAGTTTGTACCAGACAAAGCTGACTCCTGAGAAGACAAGTAAAAGTGACAAGGGGAAGATCCCAAGGGAAAATGGGAACAGGATAAAGGGGGCTCGTGAGTTGGAGTGTGGCCTGTGAGCACATCCAGGGACCAATGGAGGACAGAGGCCAGTATTGCCCTTGACAGGCCATGGGGACCTCTACCCAAATGCCCAACTCTGGTAAAAGGACCCTCTAGGAGGACCAGGCATTCCATTAGAGAACATATATCTTACTTATTAAGCATTTTATCTATAAAACATATGTTCCTGCTTATCTAAATTCTCTAGAAGCTTGGTGTTGAACATTTGGCAAAGACATAAATACTTAGGTGTAGATTTTTGTTAATCTGAATAAACCTTTATGGCCTTAAAATTTTAACATCATATAGAGTATATTCAAAACCGAAGTTGAATCTCATATACAGTGTGTTGCAACAAACCTAACTTTATATTTCTCTCATCATACAAAAGTCCATACCACCCCCAAAATATCTGAGATTGTTGCTTTCTTAGTCTAAAAGGAGATACAATTAACAGAGAGCTTGTTAGGACTAAGAAGGGTACTCTTTAGCCTTAATAAAAGATGGCTGCCTAGATGACAATGAGGCCACCAGCCAAGATGGAGGAGAGCCACATGATTGCTGTTTATAACATGTTTTCTGAAACAATAGTTGCACAAAGTTGAATCCAAGTTATAGCTAGTTTACATTCACACATATAGAGTTAAATACAAGTCACATATGTACACACACACACACACACACACACACACAGGAGTTGAATAAATAAAAAGAAAGGGAGAACTGGTGTGTGCTGTAAGATGAAGCTGGCTTCTCCATCTCTGCCTCCCACATTGCAACAACCATAGACAGGACATTTAGAGAGGGGGAACAGACAGACACAAGCAGGTCTCGTAGCAAAGGGAAAGAGAGAAAGTGGAGAATCCTTTCTCAGTTCTCCGACTGCCTGGTCTAAGAAATGCTGGGGCCAGATTGGATTAGAAAGGAGTGGTCAGTGGGTCTCCTGAAGCCATTCCAAGGGCAGCAAGGAGATGTATGACGCAGTTCCCACGGACGAGGTAGAGGAAGACTGAGTGCAAAAGCAGATTTGTTGCAGGTAGAAGAGAGCAAATCTGTTGCAGGTGGAGTAGGCGGGTAGGGGCCCAGCATGAAGTAGGTACCTTTTGGTGGGCCCTGCCGCTAAGCAAGTAAGCCACATGCAACAGAGTTAGTGAGAGAGGCTTATGGGGAGGCGGGAGAGCAGAAGAGTGAAAGGCTGTGTCTGAGTGGGGATTGGGAACTTAACAGAGGCAGAGAGACAAGGGGAAGAAGGAGGAGCGTGAGAATGGGACAGGCAAGAGAGGAGAAAAGAGACAAAGAGGGGAGTAAGCGGCCAAGAGAGAAACTTGTGTCTGGTAGGCACCTCGAACGGGGGCACGCGTCTCATAGCGGATGGCGGAAAGGCACCTGGTGACAGGCTCATTAAGAGGCTGCAGCTGCCTGTGGAAGAGCACGGCTGGGGAGGGGCCAAACTAAGGTGCTGGGCCCCAGTGCCACAGCAGACGGTCAGAAAGCTGTGGGCAGTCTGCATCAAGTCACCCATGAAGGACTTGGGCACATTGCAGGAGCACGTCCTGAGCAGGTTCCTATGCCAGTGGCTGCATCATAGATCCTGGCCTTCGTCAGGCAGTGCCCATGACCTCCCTGTACCAGGCAGCACCTCTGGATGAGAGCCCTGGGGGGTGGTGTCTTCATACACACTGCCTGCTGCAGTTAGAAAAAACCGGCAAGCACAAGATTGCAGGAAGAAAGGAGGAATCAAAAGATAAAGGTCGTAAGATAAAAGTTGACAGAAGTGAAATGTTGGTGATTCTGGTGGCCAACACTTGTTAAACTGTAACTAAGAGACAAAGGAGAAAGGTGGCAAAGGATGGAATGAGGTCAGCAGTGGCTCTGATAAGGTTAAGCGGGGAGAATAAAGTGACTACACTGCACTACAGTGACCATGGCCTGGAATAGCGGCTGGTAAACGCTCCCCAGGTGGGGCCAGGACTTAGGCCTTGCAGGCCATGGTCTCTCCAGTGTAGCTCTTAACGCTGCAGTTAGAATGGAGAAGCAACAATAAAGCCTTGCCCATGGAGGTGCAAATCTTCACTCCTGGTGCTCCAGAGGCAGAGGCAGGAGCGTCTCTGTGAGTTCGAGGTCAGCCTGGTCTACAAAGTACTCACTCTCAGTCTCAGGACAGTCATTGCTTGAGAGACCCTGTCTAAAACAAAACCAACCAACGAATCAACCAAAATACCACCACCACCACCACCACTACCACTACCACCAAAACAATAAAGCAAATCTTCTGAAGGAATTTTCTGAATTGAGAGTCCTTTTCTCAAGTGACTGTAGCTTGTATCAGTTTGACAAAATACTAGCCAAATCACTCATTTCACTGTGTGTATGCTTGTGTGTGTGTGTGTGTGTGTGTGTACAAGGGCCATGGTGGTCATTGTTGGGGTCCTCCTCAGTGACTGTCCATCTTCTTTCCTTCAAACATTTCTGAATCCCCAGGGCTCTGACTGGGGTGAACCAGGTTGGATCAGGACCAGGACCCTGCGGTTCCTATGAACCCAGACCTGTTTCCCTTTTGATCTCATGTAGGTACTTACAATCCAGGTCATTCCCCATGTTGGTGCCACTGTCCTTCCAAACCCCAAATGTATCAAGTGAACACTCTTAGCAGGGCCCACCCACCTCAAGAGAGTGTCGCCCCCCACCCCCCAGTGGACCTTCAGTTCCCAGAAAGCAAACTCTGCCATGAACCCTCTGTCTTGTCCAAGGTAGCTCGGGCCTTAACTTGTGCCAAGGACTCTGGTCAAGTGGGCTTACACTATCTGAATTTCCAGATTGGACAGGTTCAATCAATGAAAACAAGAATTCCAGGACAAACGATCATGGAACCCTGGACTATGAACTCTGTGCAAGCCTCTCCCAGGGCAATCCCTCTTACACCCACATGCATCAGCATATTTTCCTAGCAGGTGGCTCAGACAACTGCGGCTTGCCTTGCAGTCTGCTGCTGTGTGTGATGCTGTTCTCAGGGTCAAAAGGATCCACCTTCCTCTCCATCCCCCCTTTAAGTCTCAATTATTTCTTTACTTTATAGAAATCTTCCCAAATGCCTATTTCATCCTCCTGAAATCTTACTTCATAAAACTCTTGATCTTTGAGGAGCAAGCTTGGTTCCTTGCTCTTTCAGTCTGTCCATAGCAGGATGCAATCATGTGTCCACACCTGTCAACCCGCAGGAGTTATACTGTTTTTCCTTTCTCAGATTGAAATATTGTTTCTATTTTTTTTTTTAAAATTTGTATTGTATGTGTGTCTGCGTGGGTGTGCATACATGTTTATGTGAACCCTAAGGGGCAAAAAGAGGTGGTCACCTCCTCTGGAGCTGCTGTTACAGGTGCCTGTGAACCATCCCAGGTGGGTGGAACCAAACTCTGGTTGTCTTCAATAGAGCAAGTGTCTTAATGACTGAGCCATCTCTTTGGTCATATTGTTTGTTCAAACACGCTATATCCCAGGCTGGTCTGGAGACCAATATGTAGCCCTGGCTGACTTCAAACTCACAGCAGTGTATCTAGCTTATGAGCCACCAGAGTACTGGAAAAGGTCACGGTCAGGCTCTAGGCTAGGGGTTACTACTTCCTTCTATGGGGAGTCGTGCCTCTAGACTAGAGGTTACTACTTCCCTACTTAGGGACTGGTCGGTTTTTCCTGCTCAGGGATTGGCTGATTTCATGTCAGGGGCAGAGATAGCTCTGATTTCTTTCTTTTTAGCTTTTTGGTTCCAATTTTAGGGCCAGGGTGAATTTCTTTAACAGGCCCTGATTCGAGGGGCTCTGGTTAGGGACTTGGGGTGTTTTTCCCTCTGGCTCTGGGTTCAGGGATAAAGTCTTTCTTTTGCTGGCTCGGGTCCCAGATCCAGGGTGTGTTTGTTTTGCTGGCTCTGGTCTCAGAACCCAGGATGCTCACGGATTGTGCTAAGGCAATGAATCACAGATCTGCTGGGTTCTGGGTCTTTTACAGGAACATGCCTAGGCATGTAGAGAGAGATTGATTGGGCCCCCTGCAGGAGGTCAGGACCTCCTTGAGCCCAGGGACCCCACAGAGAGCCACACACAGAGCCACTTCTACCTGACCCACTGCCTAGCTGTGTCAAAGAAGGAAGTTGATTAAGCTTTCTCGGACCTTAGGGTTCCCTCCTGATAAGAGGACACGGTCACACAGATTTTGCAGGATTCTTGAGTGGGGACCACGTCTGTATTCAGCTCTCTAGCGTGTGTTTGTCTACATGCCCTTCCTCTTCCTCCGAGTCCACCTTCTCACTGCTGACTCTCCCATGCTCTGTTTGAACAGTTTTTTAGGAAGACACAGTACGCTTTCTTTGGGTGCCTTGGTGGGGGTTTAGGCACAGACCAGACAGTGATTGACAGCCATCCTCCTCTTGCTGCCTCTCAGGTGACTGTTCACACCAGACCTGAGAGAAGCTCATGACAACCGATGCGCCATGTAAGTTTTAGGCAGGCTTTGTAACTTCGTACAGCCAGTTTCTGAAAAACAGTCCGTGCAAAAGAAAATGGCTATCTAGTATGCATTTTTGTCTCATTCAAGTGCTACTTTTTGAAATCCCTATTTTACTGTATTTGTTAGGTGCAGTTGATTGTAGCATTAACATGCATCTATAAAAAAAAAACTGTATCCCCGATTTTGAAATTATTTGTTTAGATTTATACATCTTTTTCCCGTCTCCTGATATTTATTAACTTAGATTCTTCCCTGCCCCCACGGAGAGGCACGGTCGTGTGTCCCAGCCTGACTCAGAGTTGCTGTGTAGCTGAAGGTGACCTCGACCACCTTTCTGTTCCGGTCTCCTCCACCCCACGAGCATGAGGATTACAGGTGGGCATCACTATGCTTGTTCTAGGATTTGCTTGGGTTAGAACCCAGGGCATTGTGCTCTCTACTCTTGGGCCACTTCTTCAGCGCCTGGAATTCCCAGCTCTGTTTTTTTCTCTCTTGTTGGAGTTATGCTCTATCTATTTTGCTAACATTTTATGGTATGATTACTGGGTTCTTGTGAACATTGAAGAAAGTTTCAGTATTTTCCTTCTTTGTACAATTTTGTTTCCTACAGTTTTATTTTACTGTAAACTTGGCTGCTTTTCTGCCACTTTGAAACCTTAATGCATTTAAACTCAAGTTTTGTCTCTTCCTCTTTTATTTCTATCTGTCTCTGCTTCCCTCTCTCTCTTTCCTCTATCCCAACAGCCTCCCTCCTTCCCTCTGTCTTTCCCTGCCTTCCCTCCCTCCTTCCTATCTTCTTCACGGATCTGGGATTATACACAGGGACTCCTCCCCACCACAGTTGTCGCTCCCCTCCCCCCTACATCTAACACTATAAAAACCCAATGGGTGGAGACAAGATGCCAAGATGGTTTCTGCTTTCCTAGGGTATTAACTTGTCATCGTTTCACATTGCCTGCTCTCTGATGAAAGCACACCACGAAGACTCAATTCCTGTCTCTGCTTAGTGGTGCCAGCAGCATGGGCTTCCTTATTCTGGTTTTACATCCCCAACCCTTTACCCATTCTTACTATCATAGAGATGGAGGACAGTCTTTGCCTCAGCTCTGAGCTGCCCATGTCTGGGACACAGTGATGGTTGTTTCTTTATTTCCTACGGAAGAGAGAAAGTATTTCCTTCCTTTCCTGAGTTTTCTGGACAGTCAGCAAGTCAAAGACTTTCAGAAAGTTTCCACGAGGCAGAGACCCCTTAATTGGTCTACTGGTATCCATTTCTCCTTTGTCTTTAAAAATCCGGAAGCCAGTGTAGCTAGAATTTTGTGAATTTGAGTTGACAATGTTAGAATATCACCCATGTGGCTTCTCTAATTTCACAGACTGAAGCCGGCCTATGCCTGTCCCCTGCACCCTCACTACACTCTGCACCCTCCCGACGGCAAACCTTCATGGATGTGTTGGCTTCATATCCTGTGGACCTAGTAAAGGGTGACTCAATCCCAAAATGCACTTCGTGCGGAGCAATGGCCTTATCCTTTGACTTGCAAACCCATTTTAATCTCCACTTCTGTCATTTGTTTTTCATTGTTTCTGATAAGTTTCTGTAAACAAGGTGATGTCACCCTCTGGTCCACTAAAAGCAAGTCTCTTGATTTTGAAAGAGTCTCTCGCCTTCAAGGGAGAAAACAGACAGGTGGGATCCTGCTGTTGGTAGGACATTGTCCTTATGAAGGTTACCCCGGGACCTTTACTTGCTTACTTACTCCAGGGTAACTTGAAAGGCCATTTGAGCTACCCTGTCATATCTCATGTATCAGGAGCCTGGGCAAGGTCCAGAATCAGGGATCTGCACAGCTGAGGGTCTAGCTTTGGACTTCTAGTGTCCTGTGCAGTGTTCCAGGCTCTTGTGTGGACAGCATCCTGTTGTCCCTTGACAGCGAGCTTCTTGGAACACATGCTCTCCCACTCCATCACCCCCCACCTGTGAGCTATTTGCTCCTTTGCACTAGGCTGGTTCTGTTAACTGACTGCTGTCCAAGGCTGTGTCTTCCCTCAGGTTTCTGATTCTGTGTTTGATTCTTGAGTTTAAATTCATAAACACAGCCTAAACATTGGTTAATTTATGATTGATGACCAGGAGGGCTGAAACACCAAATTTCCTAAAGGAAAACACAGAGACCATTTACTTTTCTGTTTGTCCCTGCCCTGGGGTTGGTTGTTTCAAGGTCACCAACTGTTCCTGTCACTGGAATCTGTGTGCACAATTGGGAGCTGTACAACCAACTGGCAGAGCCCTTTCTTCAAGGATACGTGCCAAATTAAGGTTTCAAGCTGGGGGCGCGTCTTTTTCTCCTTAAGCTGAGAGTCTCCCAGAATGATAGATTCCCACAGTCTGAGTTAGAAAACGTAGCTCTGCCAAGCAAAAGAAAACATCCTTGTTCTTGAGCTATCTGGCCAGTTTCCAGAGAAAGTGCCAGTTTTCCGAGCATCCAGCAGGTGGCGAAGGCGGCAGTTGCTAAGAGGGTTTGGAGAGGAACAGATTTTGCTTTCAGGGTGCACAGGACAGAATCTTGGGGCAGAGGCTGCTGAGGATCTCAATCCCTCCTCTCTCGGAGATGGTGTGACCGTCTTGCCTTCTGGGTCTGGATTTGTAGCTCTGGTTACACAAGGGAACAAGGGGAGTGCCGAATTGGGATTGGTGCAGAGTGGGGCGGGACCTGGAAGTCTGCATAAAGTCACAGCTTGTCCGAAGACCCACGTCTACCTTACTGAAGACAGTTTGAGAAGGCTACCACCAGCACTATGCCTATGATCCTGGGATACTGGAATGTCCGCGGTGTAAGAGAGGGGACTGGGATGTGAAGCAGGAAGTTCATAACAGCGGGGTCTTTCTAGCAGAGAGATGCTCCTCGGTACTCTCTTCCTCCCCTAGAATCTTCTGCCAGTAGCTCTTGGCGCTCAGGAGTTTATGGGAGGCTGTGTGTGTGTGTGTGGCGGGGGTGGTGGTGCAGGCGCGCGTAGGTATGCACGTTGCATGGTGGCTGTATTTGTGCAGTGTGTGGTCTCAACTAGAGAAGACGAAGTCATACAGCAAGGTCCCCACTATTTCTCACCTCTGTTTCTGATCTTCTCTCCCAGCTGGTACTCCCCATCCGCCTGCTCCTGGAATACACAGACTCAAGCTATGAGGAGAAGAGATACACCATGGGGGACGGTAATGACACCTTCCTGGTCAGTCACCTGCTTCCCTTTGCCCAGTGATATCCATTAGCTCATGCCTAGCCCCTTATTCCTTAGACCTGTAGCCGTCCTACTGTTGAAGCTAGAGACTGCTGCTTACAGAAACTTATTTGGGGATGCAGTTTGGTTTTCCAATATAGAACCCAGAGAATGGAACTCCTGGTCCATCTGTTTTCGTATTTAGGCCGGGTGCAGTATTGGGGTCCTATTGGGTCCAGGCTCCTCTTATTACCAGTTGTTTGTAGCCCTCTCCTCCATCTTGGGCGGTGACTTGTGGTAGGTTGCGGATTCCCCTGCCTCAGGGGTTCTTGCTCCTGGTTTAACATTAGGAGTAGGGTAGGCATTGGGCTGACTTCTTTTCACATCCTCTTGTCTACAGCTCCGGACTTTGACCAAAGCCAGTGGCTGAATGAGAAGTTCAAACTGGGCCTGGACTTTCCCAATGTAGGTGCAGGGAAGGGAGGTTTAGGGAAGGCGTGGCGTCCTCACCTCATCTCCTTCTGTGGTTGAGGGGGTTTGGGGTCAGAGCTTCAGCTCTCCTGCTCCGGTTCCTGGTGGCTGCGCAGTGTGTCTGTGATGAGCTGTGTCCCGGCTCTTCCATTCAGTGTGCACTGTGCTCGTGGAGGGTTTCCCATGTCAGACACACTGAGTGCCAAGCCCCCTGTCTGTCCTCACCCAGAGAAGGAATGCAGGGTCCCCATATTCCATCTGGCCATCCCTGCTTGTCTTTCCAGCTGCCCTACTTAATTGACGGGCCCCACAAGATCACTCAGAGCAACGCCATCCTGCGCTACATTGCCCGCAAGCACAACCTGTGTGAGTGGGGCTGGCTACAGGGTGGGGCATGGGGGACAATCTCCTTGTCTTGGCTGGTGCGAGATGCTGATGGTGACTCTGTACTGTGTGTGCTGCAGGCGGGGAGACAGAGCAGGAGAGAATTCGTGCCGACATTGTGGAGAACCAGGTCATGGACACCCGCATGCAGCTCGTCATGCTTTGTTACAGCCCTGACTTTGTGAGTTGCCCGTGGTGGAGAGGACAGGGTTGGCAGCAGGACTTAAAGGCTTGCATTCAGATCGGCAGCCTCCTCCTTCAGTGAATGAACTGTTACTGATTCTCCAAGCTCTCCTCTCTTATTAGCAGAATGACCCTCATAACCCAGCGAGAGAGCACACCGACACTGTGAAACTATCACTACTAGAGTAACCTGTAAGATATGGTTGAGATTCTGCAGGTGAACAGTGGATCTAAGTCCATTATGTAGTTGTACATCTCTGCCGTGTCTGTCCTTCTGCCGATTCCATGTGTCATCTTACCCAGTGTTCGTAAGAGTCTTCAGGATAAAGTTGGAGGATATGAGGATGCCCTGGTGGTTAAAAGTACTTGCTGTGAGGGCTTTAGTATAGATCCTTAGCACCACAAAAAGTCTGTGTTTGCCAGCCTGTTCTTATAATCATAGCGTTCTGGGGGAGAAACAGGAGGGGCCTGCTGGCCAATGAATACAGCCAGTCTGTGAGCTCTAGATTCAATGAAAGGCCCTGTCTCTAAAAAAAGAAGGTGGTCAGTGATTGAGAAAGACCCTGGACATCAATAAGCCCCCCCCCCCCCCAACAAGCAGCAGTGATTCACCAAATGATGCAAGTAGGTCATATATGCACACTGGTTTCACACATCTACCCATTGTTCTTCTGCCTTAGGTATCAATAGAAGTCAGGACATCTTCCTAATAGGCCACTCAGGGTCAGCCAGAGGACCGCTTAGCCTTCTTCCTTTCAGTATTGGTCACTCCTCGACACCGATGCAAGCTCCTCACACGTGTGAGCTGTTCTCATGGCCTCCCAAACCCCAACCTAGTATAACTGCCTCCTCTTTATGGCCTTTGTATCTGTGGTTCCACTGGATCTCTGAGCCAGGACATGCAAGATCGTCAGGAGGCCCTGGGTGTCACTCACAGCACCTGGCTTGGACTTCAGATTTCAGGGACAGTGAAATTCCTGTCTGACTTTCCATCACATCTGACATGAATTCTGCCCCCAATAAAATAGTGGCGTGTTAACTGGAAGCCCAGGCACAGACCTGGCCCGTTGCTGGGAAGGTGTCTCTTCTCTTGCACTGTTCTGGGAGCCCAAGCTCCCTGCTGGGAGCCTGAGCCTAAGGGTGGTGATGTCTGTTTTCTGTCTCAGGAGAAGCAGAAGCCAGAGTTCTTGAAGACCATCCCCGAGAAGATGAAGCTCTACTCGGAGTTCTTGGCCAAGCGGCCATGGTTTGCTGGGGACAAGGTAAAGAGAGGGAGGTGGGGGGAAGGAGCCACCTTTCTTCCCAGGCTACCAGATCCTATCTCACTGACCCTCAATTCCTGCAGATCACCTATGTGGATTTCCTCGCTTATGATATTCTTGACCAGTACCGCTT